GCGAGAAATGTCCGACCACCACACTGCTGCGTTATCCTGATCCTCTGTTCTTCCTCGACCACGTGCCGCTGCTCCTCCTCACGGCAGCCGCTTCGGCCTCCCCCTTCCCGTTCTCTTCCCCCGTCTCCGTCCCCGTCGCCGTCCCCGTTCACGTCCCTCGCCTTGCTCCTCCCCGAGCGTCGTCGCACATTCCCTCATCTTCCCTCTCCCCCCCCCTCCCACAACTCTCAGCATGTGTGGAGTCCGGCTGGCGTGAAGCACGTCAGTGCATCAACATCGGTGCCATCACCCAGAAGAGGGGGGGAGGGTGGACTCCGCTGTCGTCCCTCCAAACCTCCCCAAACCTCCGACGACCCGATATTTTCGAGTCTCCGGGCCTGGACCTCACGACACCCTTCCCGGGGACCCGCTGTTTCCGTCCCGAGCCATCCTTTGACGCTCCCAGGGCCCGAAAACGGCCTCAGGAGGGAGAGGAGACCTATCAGCCTTAGACTCGATATGTTCAAACCTCTGGAGGTCTGGGTCTCTCCCTCCCTCCTCTTCCCCCGCCCCCCCCCCACACCTTTTGGGGACACCGTCGGGCGGACGCTGCGGTGAAGTGCAGAGGGCCTCCCCGAAACCCGGGCCTCGCCTACCAGCCCTCCTGGGCAAGTCCGACTGCAAGGAATCCTCCTCCTTTCTCTTTCAACCCAACCCTCCTCCCTTATCATTCACCCTGCTTCTCCTCCTGATGCGGCTGTGCTTCGTGTTGCACGCAAGTTTGAAGGAATGAGCGAGATTTGTAAGACATGCGATTACGTGCGGTACCGACGTCGGGCACGAGCTCCGGAGACACCGCCTCACGCACACAGCGTTCGCAGACGATCAGGCATTTGTCGCGATAACATGGACGAGTATGAAACAAAAGTATACAGATGCTGAGGTCAGCCTTCTCCGAGCGGGTTCTATCTGGGCATTTCGGAAAATGCGAGGTGCAGACACCCCGAGATGACTTCTCGCGGCGCGGGCAGGTGTGACGAGCTGAAGGATTATCCTGGAACTCTTGGGAGCACTGTCTCTGGAGGACCCGACCGGGCCAGAGATTGTAAATCGATCGTAAAGCTGCTTCTGCATGGAGGATGTTCTGGGAGATGATAAAACTGCTTCTCAACAGACCACTGTCTATCAGGGGAAGATTGCGCCTTTCTGACACCACGGTCGCAGAATGCATTCTGTTGTCATCAGAGTCGTGGACTCCGAAGACTGAAGAAAGTACTGCGTCAAGATTGACGCCACACACAATGTTACGACGCATCGTTGGGTGCGCCCGGCGCGCTGACGAGCCACGGGTTGATTGGGTGCAGAGGGATCCGTGTAAGGCACGCTGTCGTGCCCGCGATTGCTCTGGGAAAAAATGCGCCCCCGCTCGTCAGTCCTTGAAACTCTTGCAACTTGTGCGCGCGGTACGAAGGCGAGAACAACATTTTGAAAACGCGCCGCCCTCAACCCGTGAAACTCTTGCACATGTTTGAAACGAATGTGAGCGGCGTTAAGGCGAGAACCGTATTTTGAAAACGACCCGCCCTCTAGCCGGGAAACTCTTACAAATTCTTGAAACGATTGTGTGTGGTGCTGAGGCGAGAACCACATTTTGAAAACGAGACGCCCTCAATCTGCCTAACCCTTTGCAAATTTCTGAATGCGCACAACGCTAAGGCGAGAACCACATCATCCTCCAGGTACCGTGATAATGCTTCCAGGTGCGGGGAGTTGTATCCTTTTGCCGAACAAGGAAGGTTCTTAAAAACTTTCTGGGATGAATAAAAACGACCTGGCCAACAAATACGGTCCACGCCAGAGGCGCTTTCCGTCATCCGCCACCGTGCCCCTTCTGTAATCTTCATAGCTCCCATCCCCCCTCTCATCACGCTGCCCCGCATGAATCGCCACCACTCTCGATGCCGCAATCGTGAGTAATATGCCATAGGTTCGCGCTTCCGAGGCCTAATGCGACAAACTCGCTCCCCCGTGGCCACAATCTGTAACAACATACTGCAGATTCGCGCTCCAGACATCTCTCCCCTCCTCCACCAACGCTGGCCCGCATGCATCACCCCCTCTCCCGCCCACAGATTCGCGCTCCCGAGGCAACAATCACTCGTAACATGTGGCCGATGCGCAATCCTGAGGCCAAGATGCCTGCAAGACTGCCCCAACGAACCCTAAGACGGCCTCAGAGGCTCACGCAACGGCCAAAGATGGCCCCTGGGGCTCCCAAGACTGCATTGCAGAAGGCCAAGACAGCCACAAGACGGCCCAACCGAAATCCATGACAGCTCCTCACCTAATGAAGGCGGAAGGCGTCACGTGTGCCGGCCCTCCTCTTTCTCCTCTTCCTCCTGCTGCTCCTCCTCCTGCTTCCCCTCCTCCTCCTCCACATCATCCTCATCATCCACACAATTATCATCCTCATCCTACTCCTCATCACTCTCACCACCAGCATCATCATCAGCATCACCACCATCCTCCTCCTCCTCCTCCTCCTCTTCCTCCGTCTCCTCATCATCACCACCACCGTCACCATCACCACCATCATCGCCATCATCACCATCATCACCATAATCGCCATCATCATCATCATCATCATCATCATCATCAACACCTCCTCCATCATCATCACCATGATGATCACCAACATCATCATCATCATCATCATCATCATCATCAGCATCATCATCAGCATCATCTCATCATCCTTATCCTAAGCCGCATCATCATCATCATTATCACCACCACCACCCATATGTATAGTGTAGTCAGTTTCATTACCACCATCCCCATCATAAGAATCACCAGCATCATTACCATCATCCGAATTATAATCAGACTCATAACCATGATCAGCATCATCCTCGTCAACAACAGTATCAGCAACATGAGTATAAGCATCATCATCGTCATCATGACCATCATCATCGACACTATCATCATCATCATCATCATTATCATCATCATCATCACCATCATCATCGTAATCGTCGTCGTTCGTAGTCGCCGTTAAGGACAGCGTATTCGCCGCCATCATTATCATTTCAGCATCACCACCACCACCAATCATCATCATCATCATCATCATCATCATCATCATCATCATCATCCTCATCATCATCATCATCACCACCATCATCATCATAAGCATCATCCTCATCATTATCCCCATCCTCACATCCTCATCACCACCACCGCCACCATCACCATCGTCGTCATCAGGTGTCATACGTGACGGTCTCCGGCGCCCCCTCGAACAATCGCCACCCGGAGAGCTGGGCTGGCATGGTAGGACTTGCCGCAGGCAGCTGGACATCTCTATAAACGTGCTATAGACGTAGCCCCCCGTCTGAATTGCAGGCCCATGGGGCGTTCGTCTTTCGAGAGGGGTGCATCCCGCAGTGGAGCGGAACGCTTGTAGGGACTGCTGAGGGGGGAACTAGGGACAGTTGGGACTGGCGGGTGTATTGCAGCATCGTTGATACATCTTGGACTTACTCTGGTCCTCCTCCTCGTCTTCTCCTCCCACGCATCCCCACCATCATCACAATAGTAGCCTTGCATTTCACGATCACCAGCATCATGATCATCTTCCCTCCTGATGCTACGTCTCCTCCTCATCTGCTCTCCTCTCCCACGTGTCTTCTCATCTACCCATCCTCTCCTCTCTACTCCTCCTTCCCCTCTTCCGAACCCCCTCACTACTCATCCTCTCTTTCTCGACCTCCCCCTTACCCGCGTGGTCCTCCTCCTACTCATGTTCCTCGTCTTCCTTTACCTCCTCCCCTCCTCCTTCCGCTCATCCGCAGACCCTGAGCTTCTTTAGTTGTCGAGCAGCGCGACGAAACACAGAAGATGAGGGGGAAACGATAGGGGAGAATGGCTCAAGCGGGGGGGAACATCGACCGGGCTTCGGCGATACATCGCTGGTCGATCAGCAATAGGCCCCCATAACGAAACCGCGCGCTGCTGGGCGGGGTGGCCTGTGGGCCGCCATCGGCGATCAATGGGCGATTCGGGTCGATGCATCCCCCCCTGAGCCGACCTCCCCCCGACGTTGCCCTCATGGCTTTCGGGACATCACTCGGCTCTCGGGCAGCCGTTCAGGATGATTTGGGTACCCCCGGACCGCCCTCGGCGAGGCGCAGCCGCTGGAAGGAACCCCGAGGCTGGACAACCACAGAGAACCGACAGCAAACCTCGACCACAAACCACACGGCCACAGTCTGGCCGACGGAGTCCTCGGGCAAAATCACATCAAAACCTGGCTCCAGACCACTCCCGGGTTCCATCCTGACCCGTGCTTCGATTTGGATCCAGCAGTGGCGACGAGAATCCATCCTCCAGGAGGCCCGCGAAAGAAACAGAAAAGCAACAACAAGGAAAAGAAAAAACAATCAAAAAAGAGAGGGCCGCCGTTGTCTCGACCAGCTCTCCAAGTTTCGACCCCGCGACCCCTCGATCTGGGCGCGCCGCCCGCCGCCGCCCAGATGCCCTCGAGGCCCTCGAGGCGACGACGACGACGACGACAGCGACAACGACGACGACGACGACGACGACGACGGCGATGACGGCGACGACGACGACGACGACGACGACGACGACGACGACGACGACGACGACTGCGCGAAGGTTATTGCGCCTCCTGCAACGCCGGGCTCCCCAGTGGCGCGGTACGTACGAGCGGGTGGGCCGCGGAGGCCTCGACGGGCCGCGGATGCCTCGACTGCTCGCGGCCTTGAGGCCGCCCCTGGAGCCCGACGCACCGGCAACCCCGCCCCCCCCCCACCCCACCCACCCGCACCCCCCCTCCCACTCCCGTCTCGACGTCCTCCTCCTCCTCCTCCTCCTCCTCCTCCTCCTCCTCCTCGTCCTCCTCCTCCTCGTCCTCCTCCTCCTCCTCCTCCCCCTCCCCCTCCCGCTCCTCCCTGCCCCTGAAGCCCGCCGCGAGGCGCAGGCCGCCCGGCGGTCACCCCGGGCACGCGGCGCCGCTCCCGGCGGGGCCCGGCGGCGAGGCGCCCGCGGCCACGCCGAAGACGTGGGGCGCGAGAGGGCCCAGCGACTGCAGGGCGCCCGCGGCGCGGAGGTGCGTCCTTCGATGATCCTCGGAGCGCTGGTTAACGCCATCGCGTGCTTGTCCATCGAGGCCCTTCAATGGCACGTCGGCGGCGCAACGAGGGCCGACACAGGCTGCGCGCTATGAGGCGGAACCGAACGAGGCAAACAAACAATTGGGCTAACACACGTCCTAAGGATCATCGGGTCCTTCCTGGCAAGAAGAACGGTAAAGTCGGACCGAATCGAAGCGTGCCTCGGATCGGGCCACATCGGCAGGGAGGCAAGATCGAATCGGATCGGCAACTCCGGGCAGACAACGGGCCGCATCGGATCTTCGGAATATCAGAGTCGGACCAGATCTGGCCGGATCAGATCGGATCAGAATCGTGGAATTCACGTCACCTCGTTGCCGCCGCAAGTGCTGCCGTGAAGCGGCCTTGCTGGGACCGCATTGGAGACGCAGCAGGAGTACGCTGAGCAAGATCAAAAGGAAACAGGGGAGAAGAGTGAGGTCGGTCGGTCGGTCGCACCAACGCAAAAAGATCATTTGGCCGAAGGAGTGCCGGGGGGTCAGGCGGTCGCGTCCCCCCGCCTCATAAGTGCGCATGGGCGCCGGGGTACCTCGGCGAAGGAAATGCGGTCCGTCGACCAAACTTCCAATGCGCAAGAAACGCCCGAAACGGCAAGCAATAAAGGCAAAACAGACCAGGGCCTCGGGGACACCGCCCCAGCGGCATCGACGCGAAAGTTCAATGACGCATGGACCTTGCGGGCCGAAACGCTGGCTTCGGCTATCGCCGCGTGTCTCCAATCAACTTCAGCGGCTCCCCGATGCCCGCCAACGCCAGTGCCGCCTGGGGCGCCGCCGCTTCCAGCCCAGAGCAAGGGGTCGCCTAATCGGCTCGCTGCCGCCAACTTCTGGGGCAACGCGAGGACGGGCCGAAATCCGGAGCGGGGGGCTGCCGGGGAACTCCATGACCGAGAAGATAACGCTCAGATATGCCAAACCAGGGCCCCCCAACGACGCTGGGTGACTGCGCTGGGGGCCGCCGGAAGACGCGGCCAAATTCTTTTGCAGCCACAAGAGGCCGCGGAAGATTTGATGGGCCTTCTCGGAGCCCAGCAGGATGCCAACGCGAATCCACTCGGGCTTGTCCTCGCGGAGTTTCTCATCTCGCTGAAAAACTGAATTGCAGCCTGGAGGGGCCCGCGCGCCGCCGCTCCAAACTCCTCGAGGTCCTCGGCAGTCTGGCCCGAAGCGCAGGCGGTGTGAGCAGTTCGAGCGAAAAAGCAACGCTCCGCCACCTCGGCGTTCGCTGTCGCGGGCGGGCGGAATGGCGAGCAGCTTGCCCGGCTGCGACGCGAGGAAGCCGTTTCCAGAGGCGTCTTGCGCATGTTCGAAGATCTCGGCGAAGAAAGTCACGACGCGGCCTCAAATTGCATTGGGGCTAGACCGCCCTCGCGACGAACGTGTCGGCGCGGCCAGTCACTGCGAAGTGCGGCGAGCAAAACGTGAGAGCACTGAACGAAGGGCAAGCAGAACACACTTGGGCTGGGGCCTGCCAGCGGGGGAATACCGCGCAGAAGAGCTCTACGACAGGATCGCTTCAGGGTGGGCGGCCTTCTCGAAGCAAAAGCTTATATTTCTGATCGTCGCATGCCTTCGCAACGCAGAATGGCGCGATTCCAATATACAGTGTCCTCGCGCGCCCTGCGCGGAGCTGCAACTTAGACGTCGTCGGCGGAGCAGGAGCGGCGGCCGCGAACGCCCGAAGGCGAGCGCCGAGGCAAACTGTTGGCGCAACACGGAACCAGGACGAAGATTTAGGTGGACTCTTATAAAACGCGCGACCAAAACCAGTGTCGATTTGGCAGCCACGTTCGGCGCCGCAGCCTGGGCCGTGACGCTATGGAAGAGAAAAAGTACGATTGGCCGGGCGCGCGGCTGCGGCCGCAGACGGAAGGCGGCGCAAGGAATTATTTGACTGGCGGCCCTAGCGACGATTAACGGCGTCCAGATGCGTGGGCGGCCAGCGCAAGAGGTGGCGCGATGCCAGCTGGCGCACTGCATTCCCCGCGGCCCGGCGTCTCGCCAGAGTGGGCTCCTGTCCTGTCCTGTTTCCTTCGCGACGCGAGAGCCCTGCGGAGCGCCGCTGGGCCTTCCGCCGCTGTCGACCTCGGCCCAGGATGCATGGCGCGGGCGTCGGCTGAGAGGATAGAGCGCTGGCCAGCTGAGGCCCCGGCCCTCTAGTCCTGAACGTCAAGACATTCGCGCCCAACGTGAGAGCCGCGCCCTGCTCCCTCCTGGCCCGCCCATTCTTGATTACAGCTGGCCTGACGTGACTGGGGGGCCTTGGAGTGCATTCTGCCCGCGGCCAACTCCAGCTCGCGGACCCGCGGAATGCCGGCGAGTCTGGGGCCCGCCAGGGGCTCCGCATGCAGGGGCGGCGGTTTCGCAGAACCGAACGGCGCTTCGAAGCTGCGGCGAACGCCGGCAATGAAAAGCGGGCCGCACGCAGACAGGAAACGCTCGAGCTTCAGGAAGATGTTGATATTTCGAACAAAGATTATTGATAACGATACAAGTGCAATAGAACAACCAAAGACCTCCAGGAAGATGAATCATAACCGCTTGACACCGACCCTGACAAACCCCTCCCCCCTCGGCCCCCTGCAAACCCAACAGTGGACGAGCAACGAGGACGACTCGATCGCAGGCGCCTCCTGCAAAGGTGGTTTCAACTTTTGATCAAAAGGTCGCCCAGGCCCTCCCGGGCGACCGCGCACTGGCAGAGGCGATGTCGTCCCCCTGGGGCGATGCCACTGGCGCAGAATCACGCGGGCGCGCGACTCGGACCGAGATGGTTCCCTCATCGCGCACCGGGAATTGCAACTGATGCTATGAAAATTTAGCTGCGCGCCGTTAACGTAAACAAAAACCTGACGGGGATGCCGGCTGAAAAGGACAGCGCCGTGATCTGCTCAATCCTTGGCACTCGCGTTCAACGGACACTGGTTCCAAGCACTTCGAGCAAACAAAATTGGAGCGAACTAGCGCAATGATCCACGTTTGCCTTGAGCAAGGGTCGGCACGGGCCAGGGCAGAACAACTCCTGGACGGTTGCTTGCTACCACCGTTGACGCTGCAGCGCGGTGACACAGGATATAACACAAATCGCCCTGCATAATTGACAGGGACGTCGGGCGCAAATCTGCAGCGCCTGTCTGTCGCCGGACGCCAGGCAAGAGACGAAGGACAGGACGACTAACGACCGGGTTGCTGGGACACGATCCGAAACTTGTAGCCAGACGTCTCGGGTTTCTCCTCCGCACCGCGGACCTTCGAATGGGCGAGTGGCCACTGCTCAAGACTCTCTTGAACAGGAGCTGTGGTGAGGGCCTGCGCAGGTCCCGACGTGTTCGTGCGACTGTAGTGTCGCTGATGATGCCAAAGCGAAACGCAAGCTGCTGGCACCCCTTGGCTGACAGCCTGGGGGGGGGGCGCCCCACCTGCCCCACCTCCTTTGCAATCTCCTCCACCTCCTCCTTGGGATTCACCATGAGCGAGCCTCGTCGGCCGCTGATACGGAGAATGATCCACGACCAACGCATTCCTGAGCCCACCTGCTGAATCGTGTCGGCCTGGAAAGCAAGAACAAGAGGAGGCCACGCTTGATCATGCCCATGTTGGTTGCCTTTGCCATTGATCCACGGCGCAAAATTGAACTCTTGGAAGCCTGTGTCGCCGACGACAGTTTGCCTCTTCTTGGCCCTTCGCCATGCCTTACTGGAACTCGTGGCTCTCAACGGCGGGCGTCACTAGAGCAAATTGATGTAAACGTGAAAAGGCGCCGAGTTGGCCCGCAAATGCAATGCCGTTCTGAAGCTCGCTGCAGCAAGCTCCTCGACCACAGACATGGGAGCCACAGCGCTAAGTAGGAGGGGCACAGGAGGAAGACAACAACAAATGACACGAGTGAGAAAAGGTCGTGACAGGGCGAGGAGGACGAGGGTGCCACGGGAACGAGAAGAGCAATGACAAGGAACAGCAAAATTGGAAGAGAAAAGAGGGATAATCAAGGACGGAGCAAGGAAGACGGAGGATGGAGAGGGGATGGAAGATGAACCGGTGGACACAGAGGGAGAGTGCGTGGGACCGGGGGAGGGTGGACGGAGAAAGGCAAAGGTGGGTGAGGAATGTGTTAGCTGCTCTGACATGCGCATGGCGTTCGTCATCCCACCAGCCCTCTGGGCGTAGGTGGTTTAGGGCGCTTCCTCTTCCACCCCTCGGATTTACCCCTCCCCTGAAGCCCCTCCCCTGGACCTGGACGGGGCGACTCGCAGGTCGTTGGGGCGTCCAAGATGGTTCCAAGAGGGCCTCAGAGAGCCCAAGATGACCTCCAAGATTGCCCAAGATATCCCAAGATGCGTCAAGATGGCTCCCAAGATGCTCCAAGAGGCCCCAAGACCGCTTCAAGACGGCTCCGAGCGGTCACGGAGCCTCCCCAGGAGGCCGCCAAGGAGCCACAATCTTTGAAAAATCTACAAAGATCTCTTGGACAATGAATGAATGTTGCCTTCTCGCCTTTTCGCTTGCGATGGCCTTCCGATGCCTTCAGGCAGCTCCAAGAGGGCCCATGAAGGCCCCAAGAGAGGCCCCAGAGAGCCCCAAGACGGCCCCAAGAGCGCTCAAAATCGCTCCACAACGGGCCCAAGAGGTGATTTGGGGGGCTCCGGAGGGGAGAGGATAAGTGAAGCTCTCCCCTTTCTCGATGTCCTCCAAGATGGCCCCAAGATTGCTAAGATGGCTCCAAGAGGCCCCAAGGAGGCACCCAAGAGGACCCCAAGAGGTCCGAAGAGGACCCCCCGAGGCACCCAAGACGCCTAAGAGCCCCCCGTGACCGCCGAGAGACCCCCAAGACATCCCAAGAGGCCTCCAAAAAACGCACAAAAAGATACCCCAAGAGGTTCCGAGAGGCATCCAAGAGACCTCTGGCCCTTGTGCTTTCCCTCCTCCTCCTGCTCCTTCCTCCTTCTACTCATTCTCTTCCTCCTCCCCCTCCTCCTCCACCTCATCCTATTTATCTTCCTTCTCCCCACTTCCTCATCCATCCATCCAACCTCCTCCATCTCCTCCATTATCGTTCGCACGGTTCGGCCGTCCATCTCTTTGCTCCCGCACTTCCCTGATCACCTCAACTCGCCTGGACATCGTTTCTGGAAAGCGCTGGTGGGGATAGATGAAACGTCCAGAAGTTACACGCCCACCTGCACCACCCCTACTCCCGAGGGGTCCCTGGGCGGCCACGGCGCCTCCCTGGTGCTCCCCTGGGCTTCCACCATAGCAGCCCAGGAGAGCCGCCCAGGCGGTTCAAAAGGGCCCCGGGTCGCCGACCGATCACTCGAAGATGCCAAACATGGACCCGAGATAGCCCACGAAGGCTCTAGGACGCCCCGAGAGGCCTCCAAGATGCCTTCCAGAAGGGACCCAAGAGACAAACATGATTGATGATCCATCGGTTTTGAAGCATTGTGGCGGTGCCGCCTCTTTGACTTTCCGGCGCTCCAAAACGGCCCAAGAGGCCCCCACGACCACCCCAAAGCGGCCCAAGGAGCCTACAAAGCAAGATGACCTAAGAACGCCACAGTACATCCCACGAGGCCCCCAAAACTGCCCAAGAGGGCCCCGGCACGGCCCCAAAATGGGCCCAAAAAAGGGAACAAGAACCGAAAATCCTGCCATTACCACCCCAAGAGGCCCCCAGGAGGCCCAAGAGGCGCCCAAGAGGCCCCCACGAGGCCCCCAGAGGCCCCCAAGAGGCCCAAAAGAGGCCCCAAGACGCCCCACAACGACCCCCAAGAGGCCTCAAAACTGGTTCCAAGAAGCCCCGAGAGGCCTCCCACGAGATCCCAACGACCGTCCAAGAGGCTTCATACCCACAACGCAGACACGATGGCGCGACTTGCCGTAGGCAACTGGATATGTCTCATCTTTCCGCTACTTCATGCTACATGCTCGGGCTGCAATCCGCAGGTCGCATGCACCTGCGGACCATGATGGCTAGATATACACACCCCTGAATGGGGGCGCGACGAACAAACACACATAACACCTCAGAATTTATCGTTTTCGCGCGACATGAATGTGTGTAGGCGTGGAACTCTCTATGTTGGACTCTGCCGTCTTAGTCTTGCACGATCGTGCAACATCAAAGTGCCCACTCAAAACACATGAGCCCACTGCACCTCCAGAAAACAACGGCCGAATTCTATCGGACCAAGAAAACGATTGGCCCTCGCAAGTGAAGCTCGACTAAATTCCGCATGTACTTCGAGAGGCCGCTCAGGGAGGCACCTATTCACGGGCGTTGAACAGAGGGATCCAGGGAAGCGTCATGCGCATGTTCCTCCTTCCCTTTTCGCAAGTCTCCTTCTCCTCCTCCTCCTCCTTCTCCTCCTCCTCCTCTACATGTTCCCTAAGCGTTGCGCCCTACGTGCGCGTCGGATCCGCCTACCTCCTCCTCCTCCTCATCTTCTTCCACGCCTCGGTTGCTATGTTGGCTCTGGTCCCCTCTGGGCCAACTCTGCTGCAATTGTTTCCCTGGGGGTCGCCGCGCCCACCTTCCAATGAATTCTCGCGCAGGCGTCTTGGCCTCTCCCGCGCGCCCGAATTCGGGCAGCAGCGGCGCGCGTATGCCCGATAGCGAGCCAGACGTGTTTATCATGTTTACAGGGACCTCGGCCCCCGACATGGAAGCCCCGCTTCATCTGCACCATGCCGCTCCGCTCAGCACCGCCCCCTCCCCCGAGCTTCTCTGCGATGAAGGAAGCTACACAATCGCACACCACCTGGGGAACAGATGTCCTGGACCTCGGGAGGCTGCGGATATTGGTATATTGAGGCCCCAGGGGGGACGAAAATATGCATGCCCTGAGGAAGCAGGTCGTGGTACCGCTGCTCCCTGGACCTGCCCCTGGGCGCACTCTGACCAGGGTTTCAGGGCGAATCCAGCCGCGGCGACGAGGGAAGATTAGCGTTCTCGGTCTGGTTTCCTCTTCTGGCAGTCGGGTCCCAAGGGGGCCCCAGCCCGGCCGATGTCCTGGTGGCCTCCGCTCGCGCAGCAGCGCGCGGGGGGCTCATCTGGCCGGCGCGGAAGCCGCGGACGAACTGGGCGACCTGAGCATCGGTGGACCAATCCGTATCCCCGCTGGCGTGGCCTTGGCCCGACTGGCCGACCTACCTGCCCACCGTTCGGAAGAAGCGGGTAGGAACATGCAGTAGGAAGGTGTTGAACAAAGATTTGGTTCCTGCCCGCCCCCCTGGTGAGGAATGAGACAGAAAAGCCGAGACAGTAAAACTACTCTACGCATGAAGTAAATAGGAACACGCCTCACAATTATTGGAATCCAGGACTCCGAAAATTCTCACGTTCAACGACCGGTGGGCACCCACCAGCTAGGCAGCGTTTCTTCGGGTTACGCTGGGCCTGTCCCCACTCTGGGGGGGTGAGCTGGTGGGGCTGAGATACCAAGGCTCTGTGGGGATGAGGACAGGACAGAAGCATGCCGGCGACCCTGAAGTTCGCGGACGCGTTGGGGCAACTGCCGTGCGCCAGCAGCGTGTCCCACAGCACCAGGCTGCCAGCCCTGACCTAGCATGGGATTCGGCGGCGCGCCGGGGTTGGGGGGGGGAGGCAGGGGGCAGGGGCAGACCTGCTCCGCAGGCGCCGCGGCCTCGGAGCATGCTCAGAAAGCTTCGCCGGAGCCTTCCGAGAGGGCCCGTCCCCTCTGCCGCCTCCCCCCCCAGGGCGGGCCGCCGAGCAATACAGTCGAAACACGGCCACGAGAGCGCTGGTCCACAACATTCGCCCTTTCGCCGAGGGCCCAGGGCCCCACGGAAAGGAGATGCCCAGAGCGGAAACACAAGGAGGGCGCCCCTCCAAAACTGAAGTTGCTGATAACCCTCGTGCCGATGTTTGCCCCAACAAATCGAGATTCACCTTGGACGGCCCGCGCGAAAATTTGGGGTCCGCGCTGGAATCCCCTTCTCGGGGATCTGGGATCTGGGGGGGGCCAGCGGAGAAAACTCACAACGTCGGATTCCAGAGACTTTATGGCATGGGGCGGTGCCTGAGGCGCATCCTGGAGGAGAGGACTTACGAGCGCTCATGGATGCGTTGTTTTTTTAGAGGGCAGACGAGCCACCCTCGCAAGAAGCACCCCTACAAACGAAGCCCTCTTGTTTCATGTCTACAAGGAAAGAATCGATCAAGGCAGGACTGTTTGGGAAACGCCCAAGACAGCTTGGGAACCCTAATTTACAAACACTCAAAGAAATTGGTACGATTTGAAAATTCGGCCCCAATACTCACACCGCACGAAGGCACCAGACTGTTGGCCGAAGCTTTTTGGACGGATCGTGTGCGAATTTGTTGGGTTTTGGACGGGTCCGAATGGTGGGAAAGTCACGTGTTCCGCACGGATCCTGTCTGACCACAGCACCCTTGTGTAAGTCGAATCAAGGGCAGCCATGGAATACGAGGACGACTTGTCAAGGGCACGGGGATAGGCGCCTTTTAAACTTAACTGAGACTCTTCTGCTCGAACTTTCCTCAGGCGGCTCCTGCTAAAATCCCACCAGCCCTCTGGGCGTAGGTGGTCTAGGGAGTTTCCTCCTCCAACCCCCTTCGTACCCTTTGGGGAGGGGTTCACACCTCCCCAACCCCCATCCCCTGTACCTGGACGGGGGTTCCGCGGGCATTTGGAGGAGCGTCCAAGATGGTCCAAGACGGCTCCAAGAGGGCCTCGGAGAGCCCACGATGACCTCGTAGATGGCTCAAGATAGCCCGCGATGCCTCAAGATGGCTCCCAAGATACTCCACGAGGCCGCAAGAAGGCTCCAAGACGGATCCAAGTGGCCAAACAGCTCCCCAAGGAGGCCCCGAAGAAGCCAAAACCCGTCCGAAATCTAGGGGCAATCAATGTGTATTGATGTCTCGCCTTTTAGCTTCCGATGGCCATCCGAGGCCTCAAGATGGCTCCAAGATGGCCCAAGAGGGCCCCAAGAGACGCTCAAGAGAGCCCCAAGACGCGCCAAGAGCACCCAAGAGCGCTCTAAGAGCGCCCCAAGAGGCGATTGTTGGGGGTTCCCGAGGGGGGAAGCTAATTGAAACGTCCATCTGTTTTCATCGATGTCCTCCAAGATGGCTCCAAGAGCGCCCGTCAAGCTTCCAAGAACGCCCCAAGAGGGCCCCAAGAGGCGCCAAGACGGCCCTAAGAGGCGCCCAAGAGGTCTCCAAGAGGCTCCCAAGAGACCCCCAAGAAGCCTCAAGAGGATTCCCGAGGCACCCAAGACGCTCAAAGACGGCCCTGGGCCCGCCAAGATGCCCCCAAGACGCTGAAAGAGGCCTACAAAAAAGCTTCCAAGACACATTCGAGGAGATTCCGAGAGGCATTTAAGAAACTTCTAGCTCTTCTGTTCGCCGTCCTTCTCCTCTTCCTCATCCCGCTATTCCTCCTCCTCGATCCTCCCTACTCCCCCCCCCCCCTCCTCCTCCTCCTCCTCCTCCTCCTCCTCCTCCTCCTCCTCCTGATCCTCCTTCTCCTCCTTCTCCTACTTCTCCTCGTCCTCGTCCTCGCCCTACTCCATCTCCTCCTCCTCCTCTTCATGATCCTCCTCCTCCTCCTTTCCATCCTCCTCCTCCTCCTCTTCCTCCTCCTCTCTTTTTCCTCTCCTCCAACGACGACGGTTTCTCGTTCATCCTTGTTCTTTCCGTATTTGTGACGGCTTCCCCCGCCCTTTGTCTTCTGCATGCTCCCCCGCTTCCCTGATCACCACAACTCCACTCGGCATCGTTTCTGCATGGGCTGGTGGGGATACTTTTTTGGTACGCGGGCACGCGAAGCAGGTCGAACGCCGGCTAAGGGAAATAAACAACTAAGTGGAAAACAGGGATCTGGTGGGGATACGCGAAGAATCAACAATTTTACTGAGCTGCTCCTCTTGGTTCCAGCGTTTGGACCGTCGCGCGTTCTGATCACTAGACCTCGCCGTCGCCAACGTCGTCGTCGTTGCCGCCGCAACCGCCGTCGCCGTCGCCGTTGCCGACGTCGCCGTCGTCGTCTGGGAACACGGGCGCGCTCGCGCCCGGGCGCCGTCTGGAGGTCAATCACGCGTCCAGTCAAGGCAAATCTCACCAACTTTCCCTGATTGTCTGTAAGGGGTTGGTGCGTTTTTCCCCCCCTGGATCTTACCCAGATCCCCGACGTCGTGATTGTTTCGCGACATGGCCCCCAACCCCCAAAGATCGGGACACCTTCACCAGGACAGGCCTTTCCTCCCGAGTCGTTTTTTGACGGTCATGTGGCCCAGCGGTGAGAACACCAGGAGGCCGAAAAAAAATTACGTGAGCGAACCTAGGAAAGATTGGGGTGTGTGTTTCCTCCCTTGATTCTTGGGTCTTCCATGGACCGGAACCCGGCGCTGCAGCAGCCAGATGGGGTCCCGGCTGGAGAACTTGAAGGTGCCTCCGCCGCCTTCCCGGGGCTGCACCCAGCAAGGGCCAGCCTGGGACAGGTTCTCCTCTCGGAGGGACGCAAATACGCGGGCAAGGTTGGGGAGGGACCAGCTCCGACGGGGAGCCTCGAGGTGGAATCGTCGATACATCGCCGATAGATTGGCGATAGGCTTCCGAATCATCACTTTCCCGGAAGGGTTGGCCCGTCGGGCCCCTATCGCCCTATCGGCGATGAATGGGTTACTGGGGCTCGATGCGTTCTTCCCTGAGCTTATTCCCCCCCTAAAGTTGCCCCAGAAAAACAGGAGGGGCGGGCCGAGAGCCCATACCCCCTGGCGTCATGAAATCACGGCGGACGGCCTTGGGCGTGTTCGGCCTCCTGGGGCTCTCGACGGGCCCTAACACCGTAAAAGCCGACTCGGGATGAAAAACCGGTCCCGGGGAAGAGGCTAGACCTCTGGGGAACCGCGCTGCGAAAAAAGACACTGCGTCGGACGCCTGGTGGGTTAGAGGAAAGTCGCCCTGGACGCTCCCCTTGAAGGGAAATTCCTTGAGCTTGGTTCGCTCCCCAACCCCACCCTTGAGGCAACCGCACGCCTGTACTCCATCGATCCTCGAGGAAACCGAGGCCCTCGAGCCAGTCTGGGAAACACCTGTCAGGAGACTCACCCGAAAACGGCACAGCCGTACGGCAGGTTCGTGTCGTGACGACCTGCAGGTTGGTTTCTGACACCGCGTTCATCGTTCAACCCTGGACGATCGGCGGCTTCTCTATCGCAGATCGTTCCATGTTGGACGATTCTGTGCCACTGGCAACGTTCCACACTGAACGTCCCAGACGGGGTTGCCACCGCGTCGACATGCCACGAGCCTGCCATAAGCTTGAACCTCCAGGGGCCATCGCGGATTCCTCTGGCCGGCGCTGAACCCTTTTCTGAGACGAAGCCAGGCAGAGGATAACATCGGGTGAGGATCAATCGAGACTCTCTAAGACCTGGCGTCTCTTGAGGATGTCTCGGGCACCGCGGCCTTCTCAGAGCGTTTCGGAACGCTCTGGAACGGATCCGTCCTCGTCCTAGCCCCGCCCGATCATCCCCACATCCCTGGCGGCGCCTCTGGCGCCCTTCGCCTGGCGCGACTGGCGCGCCGGTCAAGGGGTGCGGGGACGGGGGCCCGCCGCCAACCGCAGAAGTCCGCACGGCCCTCCGAACAACGTTGCTATGTCTGCCATGACTGGCACGATTCCTGGGCGAGACTGGTCCCTGGGCCCCTGGGCCGTCCCCGCAGTGTTTCGCCACAGGCCCTTCTTGAAAGGCCTCGGGGCCCAGGACCCGTTTCCCTCAGGACCCCTCTGCTCCCTGGGTCACCTGCCTTCGCGCATCGCCCCTCGCCCCGGTGGAAAAGGGCAGCCACTCTGGCCCAAACCGCGACGCACGAAGCAACATCATCTTCCTGCCGCTGCGGGCGACCTGGGCTTCGTGGCGAGCTTCTGGTGTAAACTTTTGGGGCTTCCTGGCCTGTGGAAGCCGGGCACCAGGCACGTGCCGCCGTCGGCCTCTCGGGCGCACGCCGACACGGATTATGACTCTGTGGATCGATGGAGGCTCGGGAATTGGCACCAACACCAATACAGGGGGGTGCCCGCACCTATGGAAGATGACCTTCGACTTTGGTGTTGGTGGTAATCTTTCGGCCACCCACGAAATCCGAAGACTACCAGCACCACCGAGATCGGGATCTTCATCCTTCGGTGGAGTCGCACCGACGAACTTGGTGCCGGTTTCAACCTCTACGCCTCCGATCGATTTGCCGCATGGGCGCCAGACCTACGGATTGGGGACCCCCCCAACATGAGGCCAGTGACGCCCGAGCAGGCGACGGAACGCGCCGATCTTGTATGGAAGCGGGTGGGGGGCAACGGTAGGGTGACTGACCCAGGGGGGGAAGCATCTACCAGGAATCGGCGATACATCACCGATACATCGGCGGTACGCACCCGATAATTCATCCACGCGTTCCTGGGCGTGGTGGGGCTATCAGCTGATGGCTCCACATGTTAAACAATTACAACTATTGCTCTACCATCGCCAGCGCAATGGCACCAACAGACGATCGTACGAGATACGGGTGAGTAGCGAGAGGTGGGTGATGGACAGACGACTGCGCAACTTTTCTTGCTACGCCATCAATCTGGCTTCGGCCTAAAACAGGTACGGATCCACATCCGTCCCGTGGCTAGCGCAGGGTGTCGTTGCATCGACTCTTTGGGTGACTCTGGAGAGGAAACTGTGTACGACTACTTCTGCACATAAGCTACCAAACACACTGGGGTATTGAGCAAACTGAGAAACCGTGCCTGGGAACATTAAACAATTCCAGGACCAGGCGGTTCACAATGTTCGCCCCGGTGGCGGGACATGGTGCCGACAGTGCACCGAATGCGCGACACGACTGTCGCCGGCTATCGGGCGGATTTCCCGCCCGACCACCAGCCTTGAGCAAAAGAGCGTCCACGTGAGCATCCGCTGAATCAATAAATATGGGGCGAGTTACAGCTGATACACGTATGTATTAAACATGTCAGGAGGCAAGCGTCAGCTTCTCAAGCCTGCGCGCGGCCAGGCAGCCTCGCACAAGCAGCGCTGCACCCTCGTGTGAGGGACGAGGTCCAATCTCGGGGGGGGGGCGTACAGGTGGGGCAGGGGCAGAGGTGGGATTGGGAGGAAAATCGCTCTCAACGGATCCTGGAGGTGGGAATTCAGCTGGGTGCGTTCCATCCCGACAGTCTGGAAGCTAAATCACCTTAACCAGACTGGAAGACTGGAATGAGAGAGCTCTAAACGGTTACATCAAGCACGGAAGCGCATTATCGCAACCACGGTCAACCCGTATAGTAAGGACGCGCGATAACGATGCAGAGGGCCATGGAAGACCTCCAGCGAAAGCGGCCAATAATGGGACGAAGGGGATGGATGCAAGGACAACCTTGGAAAGCGCCCATCCTTACCATGCAGGTTCACTGTATTCATATTACTGTATAGCCGATGCAAATTATTGCTCATGATCACTCGCTGTGATTCCCAGATGCTGCCTTGCTACTGCCGCATGCTGCGGGGCTCGCGCTCCTCTCGGGCAGGTGGGCCCATCGGCGGCCGACGGGCGATTGGGGGCCAAGGCGTTTCCCACTGAGCCCAAGGGCGCCTAATTTAGCGTTTCGCGCTGCGCGAAGTGCAAAAAACGTCGCGCTCCCGCGCCGCCCCCCAAGGGAGAAGAGGGGGATGAGGACTCGGAGCCGAACTGCGAAGCGCGAATCACTTCGCGCCCTCGAGGGCGCCCTTGGAGCCTGCCACCCCCCCGATCGTTGCGCCTGAGCAAGACCCGTCGCTGATCGACGCGCATCAATCCGTGTTTGCGTGCTGCGCCTCCCCGGAGCCTCCTCGTTGTCGAGCAGGTTCAGCACGCCCTGCACGTGCTGCCCCGCCCCCGCGCCCTGGACGGCCGAGATCTCTGCGCGGAAGTCCGGCAGGGGGAGGGCCTCGTCGCCTGTGCGCGCCTGCTCAGCGGACGCCTCGTACCGCAGGGACTCGAGATCCGTGGGCTCCTGGCCGCGGTGCGCACGGCCCCGCTGCACAAAAATCCTCCTCCTCCTCCTCCTCCTCCTCCTCCTCCTCCTCCTCCTCCTCCTCCTCCTCCTCCTCCTCCTCCTCCTCCTCCTCCTCCTCCTCCTCCTCCTCCTCCTCCTCCTCCTCCTCCTCCTCCTCCTCCTCCTCCTCCTCCTCCTCCTCCTCCTCCCCCTCTTCCCTCCTCCTCCATCTCCTCCTCTTTTTCCCCCTCCTCCTCCGCCTCCCTGGGTGACCCCGAGCGAGATAGATCGTCGGTGCACGGCTTTAGTTGGGGTGCGGGATATCAAACCCAGGCGCGCACGCCGTTGCTATCGCATCTGGGTGCCTCCCAAGTGCGGTCCGAATGGTGTCGAAAGATCGCGCCACATCGCCAATACATCGCCGATGCATCGGCGGCTACGCGCCGGCGGCGTCGGCGATGTATTTGCGCCGTCGGCGTGGCGGACATCGGGCTCCACATCGGGCCGCATTGCCGATGCATCTGCTTTGCGGCACGGTCCTCCAACCCCATCTACTCGGACCCCATCTGGAGGCCTGGATCATTGCATTCAATGATCGGGGGACCCCAGGTGGCCCGTACCAAAGGTCACTCCAACAGAGGGTCTCTCATACGTGTAGTCGCTAGCAACCACGGCCCCATCGCATCGTGGAATAATTACGCCGCATGGCTTTTGAACATCGTTGGCTTCCTGGATACCTCGGTGGGCCTCATGAATATGCAGAAACGGCTCCAAACCTCTGGATGGTCACCTTGCTTGAGCAGGGACCGACCGTTCCGACATGAATACAGGCATACCACGACATGTTCTTAGCACCCGAAAGTGTTCCAAGAAGAAGAACATGTACTTAGAACACGTAAATCATATTGCTTAACACAAGACAGCCCCAACCATAATTGCTATAAAAAACATGTCGTGACAGCCCAAACAAGTTCTTAAACCACTCTTTGGTGGTCCTGTAGGCAAGTCATGGCGCCTCACCTCTGCTTGACTTGCGAGCAATGTCACGGCGCGGGAGGTCTTGGGGAGGGTTTGCCGAGAAGTGGGTGGCCCTCTGAGGAGGTGGGGGGCTGTGAAGGCGGGGGACTGCTGAGAAGGTCCAGGGGGTGGAGGTCGCTGGGGGGGGAGCCTTGTTTCCTGGGCCAGATCCCAATGCGCTCGGCCGGCGCGCTTGATCTGTCAATGGCAATCCCTACGACCATCATCGCAACAGGCTCGGATCTTCGATTTGCTCTTACGGGCCATCGAGCTCCTCAGGCTTGCCATTACCCTGCGAACATTGCCCTCTCCTCCGTCACCCCGGAAAACACAGGCCGCGTTCGCTGACCCTCAACGAGCTTCCAACCAAGGGGGCTTGCAAGAAGCCATCTCCAGGAGCCAGGAGGGCTTCCGCGAAGCCCCCTGTCTTCTCGAGAACCCATCCGGGCTTCTGAAAACACGGACCTCGAGAGCGTGATTTTGCACGCGGTCCCCCAAGGGTCTCGACCCCTTCCCCGGGACGGGCTTATCCATCCTGGGTCATGTTTTACAGGTCCCGCGTACTGGCGACGGCCCCCAGAGCCCGAAAATGGCATCAAACCTCCCGCCGTGACTTTTCTACGACGCGAGGGGGTCTGGGTTTTCATGATCCCTTCAGGCTTCTGACACGACCGCCCCCCTCGCCGCGCCACCCCCGAGTGCGCACCGCCGATCCTGGCTGACGTAGGACCTGCGGGGACAACAAGCGACCACAATCATATCGAAGATACACCCCGGGGCATATCCTGCGCATGACAGAACGGACGGAACACGGAAACTGGCCTCGTACTGGTTGTGGTCGGTGTGGGGTCAAGTCGACCACAACCACAAGCGAGAGTGCTCGCGTCGAGGTCAGTGGGTTCTCCCCCGAGGGGCCGTCCCGAAAAATCCCCTCTCGTGGTTGCGGTTCTTTGCTGTGCCCGGAGGGCCAGGGATTGACATCAAGGTGAAGGCTCGCGGGCGTGGCCCGCCTGAGGGGCAACGATAGGGGAAAACTGGCATGGGAGGGGAATCAACCTGACATCTGCGATACATCTCAGATAGCTCGGCGATAGGCCCCCGATGGTCAACCCCCACGCTCCTGGGCGGGGCAGGGCTATCGGGCCCCGATCGGCGATCAATGGGCGAACGGGGGTCGATGCATCCCCCCTGGAGCCCGTCCCCCCCACGTGGATTTCTGGCAACCGGAGGTTCTCGAGAGATCCTCGGGACGCCCTCGGCGAGGCGCAACTGCTGGAAAGCACCCCGAGATTGGAAAACCGCGGACATCCGAAAAAAAATATCGGACAACCCTGAACGTTGAGCCCAAACCGTTCCTGCCGTGAGTCTGTCCCTGGACCTTTCCTGGGGTCCCTATGCCCATCCCCCCCGATCGTTGTCCCTGACCGCCGGGGGTCCCCCAGGGCCGGCGGGTAGAGGCACCAGCGGTCGTTCGACACCACGACGCTGTTCGGGCTCGGGTGCGGGGAGACCCAAGGAAGTTGTTCGCCCTCAGGGAGGCGAGGCAACACCGCATCCAGAGCGGCGTATACGCAGAGGAACAAACAGCGGCATGAGCATAAACCGTCGGAACTCTGCGCGGATTTCTCGGACCAACGCTGGGCTAAAGCGAAGTTAGGACGAGAATCACACCGGGTGAGAATGCATCGAGAATCTCTGAGATCCGGCCGCTCTGGAGGCCTGCTCGGAGCGTTCCGGAACCGTCTGAGAGCGTTCCGGAATGCTCTGGAACGGATAGATCCTCGTCACAGTCCCGGCCGACCGTTTGAGCTCTGCGGGGATCTCTCGGACTGGCGCTGGGCCCCCTACAGCGCCTCTTGCGCCATCCCTGGCACGCTCCGCGCTCCAGGGAGGGGGTCCAGCGCCGATCCGCGAACTCTGCGCGGAGCTCCAACGGCTTATGCTTGTGCAGCTTTTTCTTCTTCGAGCACAGGCGCGGGCTCTGGCGGTTGGCCACGATTTGTCGGCGGCGAGCGAGGGGGAAAATGAGAAGGAGAAAGCCGTCTCAGAAGGCGGCGGGACTTCTCAGAAGCCCTCGCGCATTCTGAGAAGTCTTTGTCGTCTTCGGGGAAAGCTCAGAAGGCCGGGGGACTTCATGGCCTTCTGAGAAGGCATTATCCTTCTCACTTCCCCCCCTCGCTCGCCGCCGAACCTGCTCCGTGAATATCGCCTGGGCTGGCGGCAACCCGTACTTATGGCGCGACAGCAGGCCCCACGTCTCCGGGTCGCCGCGGCGCAGGTTCGCGATGCGCCGCTCGAGGTACGCCCATATCTCGTCCACGGTCGCCCTGCCAAGACGAAGCCAAAAAAGGATTAGTTGGTTCCCATCGTGCTTAAGGACCACATCCCGAAACAATGTCGATCGAGTATCGCCTCCCAGGGCCCGACACGTGAACACCCCTCCAGTTTCCGTACTTCCTTGGTGCGCGAAATTCTTTCTGGTGATCAAGGCGGGAAGTAGGTTGGCACATCATAAGACATAGATAGAGTCGGGCAACAAATAAATCGGGGATCTCTGCGACCAAGCGGCTCTGGAAGATGTATCGGGCACGGCGGCCTGCTCAGAGCGCTCGGGAACGCTCTGAAAACGTGCCGGAACGCTCTGAAACGGATTTATCCTTCTCCTAGCCCCGCCCGACCTGCAGTCGGCGTCGCCCAGGACGCCGTGAAAGACGACGAATCCGAAGTGGCCTGAGGGGTAAGGTTAGCCTGGGACCGACTCGGGGGGGGGGGGGGAACATCGACCTGGAATCGGCATGCATCGCCGATGGATCGGCGAGGGGTCGTCCATAGGGAAACAGAACGCTCATGGGCGGGGTGGGCTATCGCGGCCCCAATCGGCGATTGCATGCCCCCCGAGACGATGCCCCCGCGACGTTGCCCCCTGGCTGTCGTGCCCCTCGGCTCTGCGGCGGCCGTTCGAGACGACCCAGACACCCCCAGAACGCCCTCGGCGAGGCGCAGCTGCCGAAAGGCACCTCGAGGCCGCACAACCCCCGAGAACCGACGCAATCGCTTGAGAACCCAAGCCCTCGATCCCGAGAGAGGGTTAAGCATCGAACCCTGGACCTCTCCTGGGATGCGCTCTGCCCAAGATTTCGAGACGGACCCAGCCGTGGCCACGACGGAGCGCCCCAGGACGAGCAGAAACCTCCAGCGAGCGATCCTCGCTCCTCACTTCTCAGCGTTGCCCCAAGGCGGCCGAAGAACTCCCGAGCAGCGTCGGGCTCGTCCACCGCGAAGCTGCGCACAAACCTGGGGTCGCCCGGGCACCGCGGCAGCTCGACTGGCTGCGGGTAGCTGCTCCAGGCGGGCCTGCAGGGGGAGCAGCAGGAAACCCAAACACCCTTCGCGTCGTGGGCGAAAGAACGACAAAAACCTTTTGGGCATTTTCGGCCGATGGCGGCCATCGCCGGGCCCTGGGGCCGTCAAACAAAGGACTCGGGATGAAGAGCCGGTCCCGGGGAAGGTGCCCAGACCTCTGAGTCCGCGGGCGCCAAGCGGTCCAAGAGCGTCAGACGCCGGTCAAGCAAGCGGTGGGGTGCATTGGGAGCATTGTGGAACAAAACGCGACGTCGGGGGTCTTGAAACTGCACGAGCATGAACTCTCAAGGGCCTGCGGGGGATGCATTCGATGTACTCGATCGCTGCTGGTCGGCCACACGCAAGGAGTGGCCAAAGGCAAGAGTGTCCTGTGGCTCTAGTAGCGGCCTCCCAGATGGGATCCGAATGCAACAAATTCTCGTCGTGCCGACTTCGGCGTTGGTTTCTGACGCCGCGCAAACCGTTCGCCCTTGAACGACCGGCTGCTTCCCAAACGTCAGGTCGTTCACCGTCGGCGGCGGCGTTGAACGACGGCGGGGTCGCCGCTGGTCGACACGAAGCGAACCTTCCGTAGATGGAGTCGGAAGATCGCGCCGCATCGCCGATGCATCGACGCCGATGCATCGCAAGGAAGAGCCAACATTGACGAACTGAGAGCGGTATGAAAGCCCGCCAGCCCTTTGGCTTAAGGTGGTCTCACAAGTTTTTATTTCCTATTCCAAAAACCCTTTTGCCTTCGGGGAGGGGTACTCTCCCCCTCGCCTCCCTGACCCCTAAGGGGGCTCCAAGAGGGCCCCAATATTCAGAGACCTCCCAAAAGAGCTCCAAGAGGACCCCAAGATCCCCTGAAAGAGTCCCAAGAGGGCTCCAAGAGGCGGTTTTCAGTGTTCTGTCCTGCTCCTCGTTGTCCTCCTCCTCCTCTTCCTCCTCCTCCTCCTCTTCCTCGTCGTCGTGGTCGTCGTCGCCGTCGTCGTCGTCCTCCTCCTCCTCCTCCTCCTCTTCCTCCTCCTGTCGGGTATTCCAGAAACATATCTCTCCTGGCGCGTACCCAATTCCCCCGCCCCCCCTCTTTTGGGGATCCTCCTCCTCTTCCTCCTCCGTCCCTCGCCCCCACGCGGGCCCCAAGCACGGCCCGAAAACGCTCTCCAAAGCCCCCCCCCCTTGCTCCCAGAGAATTCGCTGTTCACCATGGTTGTCCGCATTGTTTCACTGCATGTGTCTCTTCGTCCTTTTTCCCGTCAACTCTAATTGGCAGGGTTTCAAAATTGGTTGGTGGGCATACGCGAAACGTGAAGAGTACGATTTTTGGCAGTCGGGAACGCCTGTCCGAGGAATGCTGGACCAAAAACTGAAGCCTTCCCAACCAAAATCGAGGGCCCGCGCGGATTTACTCAGTCGGCGCCAGTCGGCTACACGCAAGAGTGACCATAGGCGAGAGCGACCTGCGGCTTCAGGGGGGCGCGGCGGGTGGTCGCATCGCGTTCACCGAAAGCGGGAACCCGATGGGCCCGCCCCAGAGGTTACTCTGGCAAAGGGTCACACTTACGTGCAATCGAGCTGGACCCCCCTCCCCGCACCCTTTCCGAGGCGCGCGGATCAAGCCAAAGGTGGCGACGGAGGCGCCGCCCGGATATGTGCGGAGGGGGATCCAACGCCGACGCACGACAACCATGAGGACCTCCGCGAAAGAGAACGTTTGCGACGTTTTCTGGTTCCCCAGCTGGGCAACCACATGCGAGCCCTACCCCTGCAGGGGTGTCTGCAGCCGAGCGAACCCCCTCCGGTGGCGCCCGAACCCCTGGGGTCGACTGGACGCGCCTGGGTAGGGCTCGCAAGCGGTCGCAGACTTGCCTCGCTCCACGGCTGGCCAACAAGTGCTTGGCGCGGCGCACCTCCCGCGACAACTCCTTCAGCTCGCGCGCTCGCCGACGCGAGGCTTCTGGGTCCAGGCCCGCCTCAGCGCGGAGCGCGCGCAGCGCCGCCTGGTAGCGCAGCTCCAGCAAGCACACATCGCCGCCCTCGCCGTCGTCCCAGCGGCTGGGGGCGCCTCGTGCGGATGCCAGGGCCCGCTGAGCCCGCGACATTTGTAACCCAGATTTTGACAGTTTCACCTGGAGAGAACAGGGAATGGAGATTGTTACGCCCTCGGCTGTGAATTTCTCCGGCGCGCCAATATCCAGGCTTATCAGAGTCCCCATTCAGGGGGCCCTGAGGATGTACGGTGCAGCGAGAACCAGTCCCAAGATCGGAGTATGATGATGCGAGGCGCCAAGAACTAAGGGCAAGGAAAGACGGTGTCGCCGCCACTGGAGGCAAGAGCCAGGCAGGGCCCTCCTGGTGGTGTGGCCCCCCGATTCTGCGGCGTCTCGCTTCAGAAAACTCGAATCTCGTTTTCTGGGAGGCATCATGGATCTCTTTGCTGGAAGTGGGCCGCTGGTGGTGGTCGAAGACGAGACGAGGGGGGAAATGACAAGGGGATCGCCTTCTCAGAGGGGGCGAGGCTTCTCAGAAGCCATCCGGCCTTCTGAGATGCCTTCAGTGGCTCCTGAGGAGGATCAGAAATCTTTTCCGAAAGCCGGCCAGCGGCCCTCTCAGCCTCCAGGGAATGCCCGCCCCCTCTGCCGTCCCCCATGAGTGCGCCGTAGTGGCATCGTTCCGCCTGCCTCCGACAGAACGCGCGAAGGATGCCGAGTTACCTCTGGATCGACGAAACTTGAAGGCCTGAACGCGTAGTCCGGATCCGAGGGAGGCAGGACCCCCGGCCCCCAAAAGACTCATCCTGAAGGCGGCCCAGGCTGTATGCGTTCTTGCCACGTCTTGATCAGCGTAACTTCTTCGGCTGGAGCAGGGCGACTTTCGGATCAGGATACGCTCGGGGCGTTTCAGACTGTCTAGCGGCGACCAGGGAATCTTGGGAGTGCAGCCGTAGTGTTACCTATCATTGCTTCGTGCTCCTCTCATGGAAAGGCTTCTCTGGAGGATGTATGTCGCCGCGGCAGCTCCAGGACGCGCCAGAATGCTCTGGGAGCGCTCTGGAGGGACTCATCCCAGTTTCAGCCCCACCCGTTGTACAGCCAAGACTTTGAACTAAAGACCGCATCTGGCTCAGAAAGGCATCTGCTTGTCGTGCCGCCCCGTAGATCCAGGCCAGGGGGGGGCCATCGTGGCCGAGGCCCGTCGTGACCAGCAAAGCCAGAATCCTCGTCGTTCCTCCTGCAACGCTTCTCCTGGTAAGCACGACGGTTGTCGAAAGCACCGGCTAGGGCCGGCCCAAGGCCACTCGCACGCCAGGCACCTCCGCCATCCTCCATTGGCCTGCCGCGGGCGAGCTTCCATCGCGGCCCGCGCAAGGGGTGGGCCTGCCAGAACAAAGCTTGGCGCAGGTCGGGAGGCGAAGCAGTGACAGAAGGCGAGGGGGCGAGAGGCGACATCTGTGAGGCAATTCCTCAAACGTTTTCGTAAAGACCATTATGCATGGAGGTGCACGATTGAAAAGATAATACCATTAGCCCTCTGGGCGTACGTAGGTGGTCCGGGGCCGCTCCTCTTCCAACTTCCTTATTCCCCTTCGGGGAGGGGTGTATCACTGTTCCCTCTCAATAACTGCCCCCTCCCCCACCTGGCCGGCAGCCAACCTGGAACCATGCGGGCCCCCCCCCCTTCCCTTCCAAACAACAATGCAAAATGCATATTGCAGGGCCCACCCTGCAAACACCCTGGACAATCCCTGTCAAAAACAATACGAAGTGCACATTGCGGCAAAATCTGGACAGTTGGACAGAGCGCAGGCTCCCCGTGAGCACTCTGGATGGTTTTTTGACAAGGATGGCGGGGCACCCTTACTGAAGCCGCTTCGTGCAGAACCACCATCGGTGTCAAAAACAATGCAATGTGCACGTTGCGACAACGTCGTGGGTATTGTGCTGGCCACCCGCAATCACTTCGCATTGCTTTTTGACAGGGACGGCGGTGGCGCCCGCATGCTGATGCTTGCTGCGCGCAAGCCCAGAACAATGCTGACGCACCCCACATCAACATCTGGACCATGCGGACGGGGGGGCATCATGTTTTTTTTTGTTTTTTGCAAGGATGCCACACCAACCGCATGTGGAGCCCGCGGCGAGCGTCGAGCACATGGCGTCCGCTTTGGTCCCCAGTGGCTGTCCATCCAATGGCGACACCTGGCTATGCCGAGACTCGGCTGCCACTTATGTGGCGGGAGGGCGGGCGGGAGTGAGCGAGACGGCTTGCGTGCGGAGGGAATGTCTTGACCCCTCCCCCAACCCCTTCCCCTGGACCTGGACGGGGCCAGTCGCGGGTAGTGAGAGCGCCCACAACGGCCTCGGCGAGGAAGTCAAAATTCGTCGTGGGCCGAGGGCCGAAACTCCTTCCCCCCTATGTTCCTCCGTTCCTGCCTCCCCCGCGCCTGCTCCGAAGGCGCCTAGGGTGCCTTGATCGTGGCGGCGCGGAGGGGGGACGATTAAAGGCCCGCGGCAGTGGTGCCCAAATCGTCGTTGTTTTCGTCGCGGGCGACGACGACGACGAAAACGACGTGGCCGCCACCGCCTGTTCCTCCGAACCTCCTCCTCCTCCTCCTCCTCCTCCTCCTCCTCCTCCTCCTCCTCTTCCTCTTTTTCCTCTTCATCCTCTTGTTTTTCGTGTTCGTGTTCCTGCTCGTGCTACTGTCCCTCCTTTTCCTCTTCCTCCTCCTCGTCTTTTTCCTCTTTCATCCCCCGCCTCCCTGCCTCCCCCCGTTTCCCTCACGTTCGTACCCCTGTTCGTTCCAGCATGGACTCCCAGTGTGAGCGCCTCAAAGCTGGACGCCCGCGCGCGTCGCGCAGTGCACCGCTAGGCTTACATGCAAAATCATAACTGGAAGAATCAACGGGTCGCCGCTCAGGGATTACACTGTTTACAAGCCATCATGACCATTTCCGAATGTGAACACGACAGGCCTGCCCACTAACACGCGTCGTGGATTGCCCCGCCCCCTCACATGCAATAGCGTATGTTAACTTGAAAGTCCAATCGGCGACAGCTCGAAAGTCACTGTAGTTTCCAAAACAAAATGGCGACATCCCTAATGTGAGCGCTGAAGAACTCTCCGCCGGCCAGCGCGCGTCTTGCGCCGCACAGCAAAATTACGACGCGAAGCGGTATGCCATCTTGAAAATCCCATCGGTGACCGCTAAGGGGTCACTCTCTCTACTTACCAAGTAAACAAGGCGATTTTACACGTCAGTCCTAACAGAAATGCACACTTGCACGCGCGTGCGCGCGCAGTGCTGTGCCGCCTGGCCAACGGCATAAGAAAACACGTAATAGCTTGGACACGCACCCCCCCGTGCAACGCTGACAGATTAATAGCAGGACGCGGGGCGCGGAGCGACCCCCCCCCCCGCCCGCGCAATGCTGGCCTACTCCTGATAGGACGTGGGGGTAAAGAACACGGGGCGCGGCGCGCCGTCGCGCAGTGCTGGCTCATTAGCCACAGGACGACACTAACCAAGCGGAAAGGGGCCCGCCGCGCGAACTCCCGCCATGCTGGCCCACTCCTGCTGAAGACGCGGAGGAGGAAGAGAGCCTGGTAGGGCGCGCCGAAGCGCTCACGCCTGCTAGGGAAGGGCGCGGGAAATGAAGGGGCGCGACGCGCGCTCCTGCGCTGCCGGCTTGCTCCTGTTAGGACATGGCAAGGCAGCAGAGAAGCGCGGCGCGCGCCTGGCAGGACTCGGCGAAACAAACAAAGAGGAGCGCGGCGGCGCCCCACCCCCCACCCACCCCCCGCAGCGCGGGCCCACTCCTGCTAGGGCGCCGCGCTGCAACAGACAATGCCCGGCACGACCCCTGCAATGCAGGTCCACATCTGCCCGGGCGCGGCGCGGCAAAACTAAGGGCGCGGCGCGCCCCCCTTGAAATGCTGGCGGATTAACA